GGCACCAAGAGGTCCTGCCAGAGCCCAGTATGGCCCTCCCACCTGGGAATCCAGGTATCCAATGTTCTAGAGCAGTGGTTCTCAACCTTCCTAATGTCACAACCCTTTAATGTAGTTCCTCATGTTGCAGTAATTACACCCCCCCACCACCATAAAATTATTTTCATTGCTACTTCATAACTGTAATTTTGCTACTGTTATGAATTGGGCGATCCCTGTGAAAGGGCTGTTTGACTCCCAAAGGGGTTGTGACCCACAGGTTGAGCACTGTCCTAGAGGGAAGCTAGAGATGAGCAGGTGTACCCAGGTGCTGCCAGTCTCTGCCCCCATTTCTGGCCCAGCAAACCCTCTTCACGTCCCAGTTCTCTGTCCACTCGAGTCTGGAAGGGCTGTGAGTGTCAGAGGGCCCTCCATGCAGACTGGCGCCTGGCCCACGGCTCTGTCCATAGACACACCCTGGCTTCTGGAGGGAGTCAGGGTGACGGAGGGCTCTGCTGTTGCTACTTTAGCTTCTTCAGAGCGCGGTAGGCCTGCACCACCCGCTCTCTCTCCTCGCCCACGATCCGCTGCCGGGCCAGAGAGGTGCTCAGGGGCTGGGACTCACTGGCAGGGCACAAGAACCTCTTCAGAGCCAGCGACTTCTTACCTGGCTGAAGGAGCAAGAAAAGGTATGTGACCCACAGCTTTCATCAGGCCAGCCACTTAAGCTTGTGTCCATAGGCACAGGACCAGGTCAGTGTCCTGAGGTGGACCGGGAATCCCAGTGAGGTTTCTTGCCCTGTAATAGTGCAGGTGGCCCCCGGACTCCAATACATCTGCTTACCTGTCCCCCACCTGCACTCTTCCTGGGCCTGGCAGTCAGCTCTGGGGGTTGCAGGGCCACCTCCCCAAACTTCACCGTGTCTGGGGATCAGAGGGTACAACTGAGGTGCTGCCCTAGGGTCCAGGGCATGAAACTCAGATGTAAACTACCCATTCAAGGCTGAGGATGGCACAAGAAGTGACCTGGGGAGCAGGCGGTACCCTCACCCGATCCACTGCAGCCCAAGGGAGACAATACAGCCTTGTCCCCAGGGCACCGCCACCCGGCCAGAGGCGCCTACCTTGCAGCAGCTCCCGCTCCAGCTGGTCGGCAGCCTTGTCCTCCTTTCTCTGCCGAACTCGGTCCAGCTGCCGCTTCTTGAACCTGGGCCAGAGACCCGACAGCATTTAGCCTCATAGCCTCTCGCTGTGCACTCCCGCCCACCCCACGCGGGCCTGATAGGCCCTCTCTACCACCTGCCTGGTTCTCAGCTGGGGCAGTTCTGCCCGCCCTCCCCCAGGACCATGGGCAATGTCGGTGACAATCTTTGGTTGTCGCAAGCTGGGAGGAGGCTCCTGGCCCCAGGTGGGTGGACACCAGGACTGCGGCTCAGTGTCCACAGTGCCACTGCTGAGAAGGGGCTTGCAGGTGTCACATGCCACCCCTTCATGTGATGTCAGGACCTTGAGTCTTCCTGCCAGTTTGGAGATATCATTGTCACCGGGGACTACAGTTCCCACAGGAATCATGCCGCAGGAAAACGACGGAGCTAAAAGTAGTATCTCAGGATGGTTGGCACTGAGAGCATCCATCAGGTCTTGTTTGGGCCACCAGAGAGGAAGCACCCACAGCCAGGGTGGTTTTCCTGAACCTCTGGGCCAGGCGTGAGCTGGCCAAGCAAGACATCACCTCAGGAAGGGCCTTCAATGGATCCGCTGCTTGCTGGGTGGGGGCAGGGCAGCTCTCTTTCTCGGCGCTGCAGGTTGTAGCTGGGTGGGGCTTCTGTACCTCTTCACATAGAGTATTCCAGCTTTCCCAAGAGGGAAAAACGAAGGAGCTCGGAGGGGCCAGGAGTAGGAGTAAGGTCACAGCCCAGAGCAAAGTTTTTATACCCGGGAAGTGATCCCAGTCCGGAGAGAGATGAGAGGGGGCTGTCAGCAGAGGGGGGCTGAGCCCACGTGCCAGCTCCCCAGGGGCTGGTGAGCTCCTGAACCCCATCTCGCCCCTCCTCTCACAGCAAAGGAGCCCCTTGGCTGCTTCTCCAGGAAGAAGCTGACCTTGAGCATGGCCTTCAGTTTCCAAGCTGGTGGCCAAGAAGCCCACAAGTTAAGCAGCTGGGCTGTGGACAGGGCACACCCACCTGCAGGAACTTGTACCTAGCGGCCCTGGATTGTGGCTGGGGTGCAGGGTGCTGTCCCAGAGGACAGTAGAGGGAACCACAGGCCCTTCCTGCTCCAGACCCCGGTGGCCCAGCCTTCCCACCCTCTACTCACGCCTTCTTGCATTCCGACTTCTCCCTCTGTCTTTCGGGGGCCGCCTGCGCCTCGGGCCGCCTCTGGGCCTGGTTCTTACTGAGGAACACCACGTGCTGGGCCTCCTGCTGCATGCGCTGCACATACGCCCCCTCCGACTCCCATTTCTTCCGCTTGAACTTGGGGACGGGGATATCGGGCTCCACTCCCTGGGCCTCTTTTTCTAGCGTCTTCTTGAAGGCCTCCTGGGCTGAGGATAGAGTGACCTCAGGGAGGGGGGTGGTTTCCAGGGGCTGGAGAGAACCTTCACCCCTGCTTAAGGCCACACACTACTGTGCCCCTCCCAGGATCAAGCAGCCAGCACTTTCGAAGCCCTCTGCATTACTACTCCTCCAGGGGTGAATTCGAACCCACCACCCACTGCTTAAAGCCTTCCGTGGGTCTTCACTGTTTTTGGAGAAGAAAACGACACTCGACCACGTCCTGGAAAGCCAAGACCTCCTGGCACCCACGGCCCCGTGCTGAAGGCTCTGAGACCACACAGCCCCCTTGTGCCTGTGGCCGTTTGGGGTCCTGCGCGCTGGCAGCGTCCCTCCCGCAAGTCTCCACGAAGCAGCGCGCCGTGAAGCAGGCGGCCCGTTACCTTCTCTCCTCCTCCTCTTGTTGCTGATGGGGTTTCTCATCTGCTGGCGGCTCCTCATAATCTCTCGGAGCCGGAAAGGAATCTCCTGCTCGTCCTGGTCCTTGGGCTTGCAGTTCACTTTCTTTTTGTCTTTGCTGGGGAGGAGAACATGGATGAGACGCCTCACTCTTGCACGCAGAGGCGCCGCCAGAATCCCATGCTGCCTGGGACACCGGTGGGAAGGGCAGCAGGGTGGGCGTCCTGTCCCGGGCTGCCCAAGCCGGTTGCCCGCGAGGCCGGAGGAATGAGTGGCAGTCGCGCTGAAAAGAAGCACCTGGGTGAGGCGCGTGGAAGGGTGCTGACTCGCTCCCATCCACCCTTCCACGGGATTCGGCCGAGGGGCACCTAGGCCGGCCGGCCGAGGGGGTGGAGTCGAGCGCGGCGGCGGGAGCGCCTCCCAGGGCACCCACCTGTGCTGCCCGGGTCGAGGAGCGCGTCGTGGCCCCCCCGGAAGTTCCTGCTGCGGACGCCGGGGCCCCTGCGGCCGCCCGGAGGGCGCCAGCCTCGCAGCCCCGCGCCCCGTGATTGCCATTCCCACGCCGACTCAGTTCCCGGAGCTGCGAACGGCTTAGTCCCGCCCACTACCGCACTTCCGCTTCCTGCACTTAGCCCCACGCTCATTGGAGCAGCTCGCGGCCCGGCCAGCCCGCGATTGGCCGGAGCGGCCGTCTCTCACTCGGGCTGGGTTAGCGCAGGACCATGCTGTGGAGCTTGACTCGCGGCGGCTCGTTGGTGCTCTCCGCGGTCCGCACCTCGGCAAGTACCTGGCGGGGCCTCGGGGTGGGGCCCGAAAGTGGGGTTCCGGCGGAGCCCACAGTCGCCCAGAGAGCTGCAAAGCCGGAGTCCGCAACTCAGAGGGGACGAGTCCTGACCTCCAGCTCAACGACCTCGCACCTCCCCAGGGACTCGCCCTCCCCCGCGCGCTCCTTGGTTTCCGCGGTTCCCGCGATCGCCGAATTTACGGCGCAGGGGCCTTGGTCAGGCTCCCCGAGAAGCCCCCGAAGCGGAGACAGTACCAGCCCTGCCATGCTGGAACCCCCACCCCAAGGTCTGGGCCTCGCCTGCCCTTCCGGTCCTGACCACGCACCCACCCTAGCTCTGAGAAGGGTGTTCTGGCCACCCTGGGATGGCAGATGGGCGGAAGCCGTGCCCCATGGGAACCCCTGCGTTTGCGGTCACGGTGTGCATCCTACAAGCACGTTAAGCACCTGCTGGGTGTGCTGCCTTGTAGGCTTCTGAGGTTCACCGTGAGCTGGGAGCCCCTCCCAGGAGGGGCCGCCTAGCCAATGGAAAATGTGCCAGTGCTGGGAGGGGGTGTTGCTTGGGCCATTGGGGATTAGCCCCCCTGGTTGGAGGGAGAGGTGGGTTAACAGGGTCCCCCTTGCCTTCCATCGCTGCCTGCCTCCCCTACAAGCCCTCTAGCCTTGAGCCCCGGGCCCTCACCTGGTTCCCACCATGTATGCCTCCTAGCAAACTAGACCCCTCCACTCTGCGGTTGGGGAGGCGGAATCCAAACCAAACCATCACCTGACATCAACTCTCTCTCAAAGTGTGGCCCTGGGGAGAAGTGGCCCCTGGGGTTTCTGAGGTGGTCATCTTGACGGACCCGACTGCTTCATCCTTCTCCCTTGGATTGGCTGGTGGGCTTTAACCGCCAGCTTTTCACTTAGCAGCCCCGTGCTTAACCCATGGGGCCACCAGAGCTCCTCCCACAGAGAGGCCACGATGGACCGAATCACCTGTCCAAGCCAAGGCTGGACTCCTCATTGTGTAGTAACGCCCTGAGTCACGTGTCTGTCTGCATCCTCAGGGGACACCACGGCTCTCCAGTGGGGAACGGAGCCACGGGCTGTTGAGAGGAGGCAGCAGCGATCTTCACAGGCACCTTGCCCGCATTTGGGTCACCGTTGGCCGACGAGCGTTTGGGAAGGACTGCCAGGAGGAGGGCTCGCCGGCCTGTGTGGAAGGCACAGTGAAGCCCAAGTCCAGCCTGCATAGTGGGGTCTCGACAGAGCCCCTGTACCCTGCACCGCCTGAGCTCCCGCCCCCCACAAACTGCTGCATGAGCGGCTGCCCCAACTGCGTGTGGGTTGAGTATGCAGAGACGCTGCTGCAGCACTACCAGGATGGCGGGGAGAGGGCGCTGGCAGCCCTCCAGGAACAGGTGGCTGACGAGAACCTCAAAGCCTTCATCAGGATGGAGATCAAGCTACGCCTACTCCAAGATAACTGAACCTACGGACCCTACCCGGGAGACCTGGGCCTGGCAGTTCTGGGGAATTATTTATTGGGAATAAACGCATTTTCTGTGGGGTCCAACAGGCAGCCCCAGGCTGGTTTCTGGTACCCCAGGCCCAGCAGGTAAGGCCACTCTGATCCCATCAAAGAAAGCGACGCAGGCTGACAGACGTCGACTTCCACTCTGCATGGGCAGCAAAACCCCACTTGCTCTGCAGCCCAGTGGCAACGAAGGCCCCTGGTCCCCCGCAGGCTGCTCAAGTTCAGCTCTGGTCACCTTTAGGTACCTGTAGGAGGAAGTGGTAGTGGACAAGCTTGGGGGTGCCCACTGGGGTCCCAGGGGACATGCCCACCACCCCGGGCTATCGAACTATCCCTGCACTCCGTGAGGAAGGCCATGACATCCTTTGGGCTTTTCTTGACAATCAGTTTAGCACGCGTGGTACTATTTCCGTGTTCCTATCCCCTAGTTGTCTGCGCCAGGGAACACCAGCTGGTCACCCTTCCCTCCAACTTTGCTTCCATCTCGGTTTTGAGGCCATTTCAGCCCGTTGTAAAACCCCAAACCAAACTTCCTGCCAGAGTCAATTCCAACTTAGAGCAGCCTTTTGGACAGAGTGGAACTGCCCCTGGGTTTCCCAGACTGACCACACCGAGCAGAAAGCCTCATCTTTCTCCTCATGCTGTGCATGCCCCTATCAAGATTAGCATCCCTGTCATCAGCTATAAACTTGCTGGAGAGGTTGGGATGACAGTGCCCACTGGGGGAGACTGGCACCTAATGTTGGTTCTCCAGGACCAGGAGTGGAGTGTTAGGTGGTGGTTCGGTGCTGTTAAATTGTTTCCTGCTCAACCAACCACAGGTCAACCGATCCAGACACTGCCTGGTCCAGCACCATCCTCACAGACCCCGTTACACCAAGGCCCACTGTTACAGCCCGGTCCACACATTCATAGAGGGCATCTTGTTTCACTGCCGCTCTTCGTTACCAAGGATGTCTTTTTCCAGGAACTGGCGCTGCCCAAGAACGTCCAAAATACATGAGATAATCCTGTTTGAGGGGCGTTCTGGCCATGCCTCCCCAAGACAGATTCGTCTGGTCGTGTGGCAGTGAGATCGCTGCTCTCAGCACTGGTCCACAAGGCTCTCAGTGTACGGGTCTCAAGCATCTTTTGTCTCTCATATTTTTATAAGTACTTTTTAAAAATTTGTTTTTCAGCATTTTGACCTAGACAGCAACCTAGCTAACTAGTCCTGAGAGCGTTTTTGTTCGTCACCAGAACATGTCTCCCACTACCCTGTCTAGAACCGCTAGTAAAACGTGAGTTGGAAGTGCTGAGGGCAACCTTTTTTTTTTTTTAATTATTTTATTGGGGGCTCACACAATTCTCATTCACAATCCATACACACATCCATTGTGTTAAGCGCATATGCACATTTGTTGCCCTCATCATTCTCAAAACATATGCCTCCCACTCTAGGGCAACCGTTACCGACTAAACTGAAAACCACACACACTGCATCGAGTCAATGCTGACTCACAGCGACACCGGAGGGCAGGAGAACTGCCCGTGGGTTTCCCGGGCACCACTACTCCCCCAGGGCTGACCTCTAGTGGACAGATGCAGTGGTGAGGGCGTCGCTGCCTGCTGCGGAGCTCGGCTTCTGCATCCAGGCCTGTGAGGTATTGATGGGTGGGGACCCTTGACCGCGTCGTGCCCTTGTGGCTGCTAGCCGCTTCCATGAGCCAGTGTTGGGTTTTGTGACACACTTCATGCAGCTAGGGGACCATAAGGATGTTCTTTTTTCACTTTAATAGGATGAGTTACACTGACTGATTTTCATAAGTTCAAACCTTACATTCTTGAAACAAATGCCACTTGGAGGTGAGGTAGTACTGTGCTGTTGCTTTCCTAGCACTCGAACTTTCGTTCTCGCCTTCTGTGTTGTGAGGAACACGGGTCTTAGCAGATGCTGGTTTCAAAGACTCGGTTTGGAAGTGTTCTGTTCCACTTTCTGGAAGTCAGGGTAAAATTACATGACCTCTTTCTTAAATGCCTGCTGGGGTAGAAGTGGCAGGAGATGAGCATCAAGGAAGAATAGATTCCGATCCTGCAGGGCCCTAAGCCACAGCCCAGAGGTCTGGTTTTGTTCTGACAGCATGGGAGACTTAGTTAAGGATAAAAACCAGCTCACTCTCATACGTAGATAAAGTAGATTGATAGGTGACGACACATGTACTATATTACAGCCTCCAGAATCTCCACTTGCTCATGTCTTGCCAAGAGAGGTGGTAGTACATTTCTGAACCTCTCTCATCTCTTTCATTCTTTCCGTTCCAGAGGAATTTCCCAGCGAAGTACCATCGAGCCAGTTCCCACGGAAAGTGACTCACACAGAACAGGAAAGAGCCCAGCCCTGGGCCCTCCTCAGCCTGTGAGAGCCTACCATCGTGGCCACTGTCAGCCCTCCGCCGTGAGGACTTTCCCCTTCACTAGCCTCTTTACCAAGCGTGTCCTATGCGATTATAATCAAGAACTTCCTCAAGGCCATGCAAATGTTTTATGTAGGTGATTAAAATTTGTGTCCAGTTTTTTACTGACAGTGAATTTAGCTGGGCCTCGATTTCCTTGTGGGAAGGTTTTAATTAAAAACTCATTTTTAAAGTAAGACATAGGTCAATTCAGTTTTACTACTTCTTTATATAGTTTAGGAAACCTTTACTTAAGAATATATATATATATATATTATTGAGAATGTGGTATTTCTTCTTGAATGATCTGTGGCAGTTTTTCAAATAATTTCATTCCTTGGCGTAACGTTCATATTTTGTACTCTTTGTGGCATCGGTAGACTTTTAAGCGATGTCTCTTTTCCCATTCCAGCTATCAGTTCTGTTTAACTGTATCCGTGTCCACGGCCCAGAAGTTAACTTTCACCAGGCTGGAGCAGAGGACAGAGAAGCCCATAAGAGGCGGCGTCAGAGACAAAAATAGCTCATGTGTTTAGCAGGATGAGGTTTTTTTAGAATTCTATTGGAATATTTGATGCTGAGCTGGAATTAAGTACTGAGTGAATAGAGCAATTGGCATCAATAAAAATAAGTCCCGGTCTTCACAGCACATCAGGAGGCTTTCCTGTGGGCAGTGTTGACATGGTCACAACAATGTAGACGATGCACAGAGCTGACCAGCATGGTGACCGTAACTTGAGAAGGTAAGAGTGGACGTGGAGTGGGAGGTGTCTGGACCCCATGTCCTCTTCCACATCCACAATCGGTACTGCGCCCCATGCTGCGTCAGATCTGTTGTGTCTTACCAGGCTGGTGACAGTGTGCCTGAACGTTTTAGTGTTTTATTGTGAATTAAGTGGAGGCGTTACATTTCAGATGTTTTAAATTAAACAATTTATCAAAGTTTCCAATAGCTAGCTTTGTTCCCCCCCCCTTATTTTTCCCCTTCTCCCTCTGATAAGATAGTACCCCTCTTCACGTAAGTTAATGCCTCTCAACTCTCTAGCCTCTGCTTCACTGCTGACCCGCCTCCCTACTCCAGGGGCAACACATACAGCTGTGGGGTCTGCAGTGCCTGTACTTTGGGTGCCTTGGCTGACCTGTCACTGCAACTCAACACAGAACCTTCTCTTGAGCTCACACAGGTCACTGTGCACCGACAAGAACCAACCCCGGAGACTGCCGGTCTCTGTCCGGCTCCCACTGGCTAATCAAGTCCCCAGCTGGCCGTCAGCAGCTGGCTCTGTGGGTGTCCTGGAGCCAGTGCAGCACCCCTGCCAAGCCAGTGCCTTCCCGGGCGCTGACTTCCACGGTGGTGATGTTCTGCTTGGCGCAGGCCACGATGTCTGGGAGCCTCATTAAGGACTTCATCTCTTCCACACTCATATAACAGGGCAGGTCGCTGGGGTGCAAAGAGAGCCTATCAGACTGGCAGCTGCCCCAGACCCACCTGGAGCCCCCACCAAGCCTCACCCCTCAAAAGCCATTTGCTGGCTCCACTTAGAGGCTCTGCACTGGGCTGCCCCCGTCTCCCTTGGCTCCCAGACCCTCACGTTTTATTGAAAAGGATCAGGACCGAGGCTTCTGCAAGTTGTTCTGCGGAAAGGAGAGCCAGGAGGTGAGCACAGGAGGCAGAGAGCTGTGTGGGGTCAGAGGCATCCAGCAC